ATGAATGCTTGGCTATGTGTGGTCACGGTGGTTGTTGTCTGTCCAAAATGGGCGGGTGCTCCAAGCTCAATTATATATTTGCATATCTAATGTGGTGAAGGATAACGTCCAAAGGTGTGCGTGACTACACAGGGTATATTGACCTTGTGTGTTGAATCACCACTCACTACTAGCAGGTAAACATTCTAACTGCACAGAGAGAGAGAGACAAGTATACGACAATGGATATCAAATTTTTCAACTACAATATGGACCGACTGATTTACGGATACTCTAGCTATATCAAAGGTAGGCCAATACAGTGTTGGTCAGGTAGGTGTAGGTGTAGACATGTGGCACTTCTCACATGTCACAGATTGGACTAAGTATTAATGGATTATCACGTATCTCCAAATCTTACCTCTACCTAGCTGTCTTGAAATCTACAGGGGTATATTCTGGTCTTTTGCAAGTACATTATATAGAGGTCAAGGTTACAGTTCTAGAGTGTAATATGTAAAACGTTGAAATTTATTTCCCCACACAACTATACAGAGATTAAATTTTCAGCAACCACTGTCGCCTTCATCAGGGTAATGAAGAGTTAGTTCAACGCTACCAGCATGTTCACTGATCATGAACAGTGTAGAGTTATGTAGAGTTATATGTACTATGAGTAGTTTCTCAAAATGAACAGTTGTCTATATTATATTTTGAATTAAACATACTGTAATTTACTTTATGTTCACAGTAGCAAAAGTTTGCAGTCCGAGAAAAATGGACATGTTTGTGAAACATATATTCACATTGGTGGCAGGTGTAGAAAAAAAGAAGGTCTGCAAATTATTTGTTCATGGTAATAATAAGTTTGCAGTACAGAAGTGCCCACGAAAACCGCCAACATATAATTATTATTAACATAAGTACCGTGAAAAAATTGTTAATTACAGTAGTCTAATTTGTAATTGGTAAACTTAAGTCACTGATGCCAGTGATGGGTGAATTATTGTAGTTGCTGAGTGAAATGCTCACTATATATATATATATATATATATATATATATATATATATTCAAAATGCTGATGTAGTACTTGTATTTTGCTGTCATTTCCCCCCAAAAATTGCTGGATGTGCACGTTGTACTACATAGGATTCAGATCCCTTTATTTTCTCTTCTTACATGATTTCCTTGCAGATTTTTTTTCATGGCTTGACTTTTATCACCCGCAAGGAATTCAGTGGATTTTTTTGACCTGTTATAGTCTCAAGGTTATTATTGTTCCCATGATCCCTTGCGGCATACTTAGTGCATGAGCAGCCGAGTCCTTATCCCTTGCTACGAGAGTCATTTGATGGGCTTCTCAAGAGGTCTTGGCCATTTGTGATGCTCTCTCCAAACATGATGTCAGACACTTTCTGTCCCACTCTTCTGGATGAGATCTTAAGTGTCATCTCTCAAGTTTCATGTCTCTGTAGAGTCATGAATATTGCGGAGAACTACGGAAACTGCAATTAGATTGCACGTTGTGTGGCCAAGTAGTACTGGAGAGAGTAGGCCAACAATAACTTTCAGGAGGACAGTAGGATTGAGAGCTTGCAGAGTTAAAATGTGGATGGGAGGGGTTTGCCCAGCTACCAGCAAAACAGACAAAAGACAAAGATGGTTGCCCCCCTCAGTGTAACATAAATATGACGATGATGTTACTGATATGCGTTTGAATGTTGGCATGTTGGAGCAGGATGAGAAACGGATACATACTGGTAAGATCAGTTGGTTTGATAGCTGAAGTGACACAGGATATTGACACGTTTACAGCTTTGGCCATGTGAAGTTAATATTTTGGATGATATCTATGTGCATGTTGTATTGTGTTGTCCTTTTTCCCAAAACAAAGAAGTGTTACTTATTTTATTATGAAATATAAGTCTCATGAGGTCATACCCCCCCCCCCAGAACACACTTCCATACATGTGTATGTCCTTGAGATTCTCCTGTGATTCTCCCCTTTATTTCGCACAACAGGACATATTGTGGGTTATGTAATCTACCTGTCGAGAGATTTTATCTCAGGCAACCATGGATATGCCTTGACCCATCTCTCTGTTGCCTGAACCAAATGTGCACTATATGTTAAATGTCCATGTGTGCAGGGCTCGAAATTAAAGGTGGCCCAGTGGCCACTGACCACTAGAATTTAGGCTGGGACAACTAAAAAGACACTTTGGGACATTTTTGGGACAACAGAAATATCATCAACATCAGAATGTCAGCCCTTCTTTTGTTTGTCACGTCCCGGCTTTTGGATCCGGAAAAGCCCCCCCCCCCGAATTCCCCGTCTAGATGCAATTATAGTGTGCCTGGGAGTAAAAATAAGCAAAATAAAGTTGACTTCAAGTTGAAGTCATAACGTAACAATACTTCTAAAAGAAAAAAACAGGTTGCAACAGTTCATCCTCACTTCGGGACAATTGAAATTTATTTTTGGGACAGTGCTGGGACAATAGGAAGAAAAGTTAATTTCGAGGCCTGGTGTGGTTCTATTATACAACATGTACATAGCAGATAGTCTCTAGTACTTTTGTAATTGTATAAAACAAAAGTTCTCAAACATAGTGTTGACCTCAAGCACAAGAGTTTTCTCCTCATTGAAAGGTTACCCAGCTGCCTTACTGATATAAAGTGATAGCGATATCATTTGATAGTGCCATTTAGTTTCCTCTTTGAGCAACTTGAGTTAAGGTAAAGATGAGTATCGATTCCATCTCCAAAGTTCAATGACCGCTTTTGTCAGATGGCTCATTAGCCATATAACCATCTGTACAACCTGTCAGTTTGGGGATGAATGTTGATAAAAAATGTATATGTTCCTTTGGAGAAAAAAGGTGTCTTATACATGTCCATCATACCATTTCTTCTTTAGAGGTCCCTCCTCTAGATCTCTACTTCAAGACATGGGGTAATCATGTTGACATTTTGTTCATCTAGAAAACAAAGTACTCAATGTACAACTACTGACACCTGTTGATTGTTACCCTCTGTTCAACAGACACTAAAAATATCCCCCTCCCCTCCCTACTTCAAAACATGGGGTAATACTACTGACATTTTTGCTATGTATCGTCTACATTTGTAGAAAACAAAGTACAACTACTGCCACCTATTGATTGTTACCCTCTGTACAACAGACACTAAAAACAGCTCCCTCCTCCTGTCTTTTCAGTGGGGGAAGGGAAACCAGGAGACAAGACATGTCTGATCTGCGGGGACCGTGCCACGGGTCTGCACTACGGCATCGTCTCCTGCGAGGGCTGCAAAGGGTTCTTCAAGCGCAGCATCTGCAACAAACGAGTGTACCGCTGCAGTAGGAACAAGAACTGTGTCATGTCGCGTAAGCAGCGCAACCGCTGCCAGTACTGCCGTCTGCTCAAGTGCCTACAGATGGGCATGAACAGAAAAGGTAAGTCACTTCATCTCACGTAAACATTGTTAGCCTGGTTACCAAACTTAATTTATCTCCTCAGTCCTATATCCTCTCCGGATGTAGGACTTGGTAGCTAAAATAGGTTTGGTAACCAGGCTAAAACATTGTGATATGATGTGTAAAGCTGAGAAAGTTTTATCATTACTTTGCTTGGTGTTTGATATCCTGGCCTTAAATTTAGTTGCACAAGCATCTACACACAATACTCGTTTCTACTGACTAGAGAGGTATATGATCTGTGCAAGCTTTTAAAGAATTATGTGGGCCAAAGGGATGTAGGCCAAAGGGATTTCATCTGTGTCAATACGTTTGAAAAGGGATCAAATTCAAGACCATCAAAACAACACAAAGCGGAACCTATTTTTGAGGTGCACGGTCTAGATAAGGTTACGGCCACCCTCAGTTGAAAAGTAACTGTCGCCTCCCGTTTGTTGACATTTGGTAGTAGTAACACAACAATGACTTTGTTCTGGCTTCCTCTGCAAAACCACCTAATCCTATTGTATGGAAAGCCTAAGGAAAATAATAAAGTCAAGTGGCAAGATACTGAACCCTAAGGTCTCCAAGGGCTACTTCTTGAAAACAAGCATTTGAATATCATAGATTGTTCACATTTTCAAAGTGACTTCAACCATTCTGGAAGCCTGTATTCTTATCACATATTTACTCCCACCTCTCTATGAAAACAGCTGCTAAAGGAAAACATCTTTTTTTTTTATTGGTGTGCCTTAGCTTTTTGCCTGGCCATCTATGGACAGAATGATATAATATGCATAAGACAAATGGATTCTAAAGGAATAAGGGCTTACACAAAAAAAACAGGAATACGTCATGTAATATGTTAATGCACACTTATTGATTCTACTACACATACTATATATATGTTTATGGTTACTAATCCCAGGGTCACTGAGTAAATGTAGGAATGAGAGCTGCGTGCCATGGAGAGAGTATCACCTGTTGAATACTAGTAGCAGTGTATGGTTTATTCATGGGTTCATCAAAACTGCCCACCTGGTTATGAGGCCAGGAAAGTAAAGTGTACAATGTACTACACAACATGTCAGTACAATGTATGTCAGTGTGTTTGTGTGTGTGCATGTGCATATGCACAGTGTTTGTGTGTGTGTCTGGGGGGGGGGGGGACCATGAATTATTGACACAAAAAATTATACATTATATGTAACTTGGCTTCAGTTTTGTGAAGGAAAATCATAAAATACAGCTTTTGATTTTATTTCTTGTCCTTCCAGATAGTAACAGACTAGCATGTGGGCATTTCTACCCTCACCATGTGGGCCCCCCTTCCCCATGAACTCTGCATTACGTACCACTTCACTTGCTCAGGTGTAAACATGATGACCTTGACGCTGTTACACAAGGTGTTTGCACGGGGGATTGCAAGTGACCTTTCCCTTGACACCTGTATTGTTCGCTATACAAAACACAATCCTGACGTTCCTTCTTCTTCTTTTAAGGGCATCGCACCTGCAGGTGTTGTTGACTGTGAAAAATCTTTACACTTGACAAAAGGGATTTTTATTTCAACGGAGCTTCTTTGTGCTCTGTTTTGGCTCAGTAATCACATATGTATGATTAAACAAATGTCATGAGATGGCTTTGAACAATGCCTAGTTAGATGTTCAAAATTAGGTGCAACAAGTCATTTGGCTGGTGTGTTACGCCGAGGGACAGTTCTGAAAAAAACAGACCAAAACAACAAATTAGTGACAAAATTCCAGAGTTTTGGATGTTGCCCTGACAATACCCATTCTCACCTCATTTGCCCCATGACCTCTTGGGTCAATAACCTGAAAAAAAAGCTCCTCCTACCAACGATAGCCCAGCTTATGGGTAGCAAATGGCACAGACCTGAAAACAAGTTCAAAGTACCATTTCCATGATCATGATGTCATCTAGGTGAGTCAGCTCATAGAACAAGTACAGTCATGTTGTATTTGTACAAAGTCATGTTGGGACAGAAGACTTTGCCCTTTGCTTTGGCACGAACACGGTTATTCCAGGTTATTTGGCTTTTAATGTGAAAGTGACGTTTTATTTGTGAAGTTTGCCTTTTCAGTGAAAGGAACCTAACAGATTATGCCAGAGTTGTCTAACTTCTCTCCTTACATTGAAAAAGATCTTTCAGAAAAGCAATCAAATTATATGGCCTGATACTAACAGAAGCTGAACTGCTGTACTGAGGTTGGCTTATTAAATATGATTCTGAAAAGAATGGGACATAATATAGTATTCGCATGCAACAACATAAACATATCTTGTGAGATAATGTGTTGACCTTGTCTGTGCTCTCTGTCTATTGATGATTGATATGACAGTTTAATTTGTAGGAGATGAAAGCCTTGCAGCAAGTGGCTTTGTTACTAAAATCATTTTAATTTTTCTAACCTTTTGGTCAATTGGTGTGGCAGCACTTGTTGTCAACAGTGGAAATGCCCCCTCCCACTCCCAGTAAAGCCGCAAACGCGGTGGTTGGGAGTGTCCCGTTGAGATTGAGACAAGTGCGTGAATGTGCCTGCGGACATGCGTGACTGTGAACGTGACGTGTGTTTAAACGAGTGGTGGGGACGTGCATATGGCTGTGTGGACATGCGGACTTGTGTCTTTTCTACCAGTAACGTTAAACAAATGACGGTATATCCGGATCCAGAATACCATGTGGTACAAAGTTCATATTTACACCATATTTCTGTGTTACATGTGCTTACTTACATGTGCTTTATGGATGTGGACTAGCAGACATGTATTTTTAGAATGATTTGCATATCATCTCAGGAATGAAAAAAAAAATGTTTACGCCCCATAGCTTAGTGCTATTGTTAAAATTTGAAGCTTCAAGGAAGATTTATAGTTGGTTGGGTGTATGTGTATGGGCTAAAAGCCAGTCAAGTTGACCTTTATCCAACTTACAAGCTTTGCCTAGACTTGATATGTACAGTTGATCTTTACGATGCATTCCAACAGACAATACCCTCCCTGCCTGTGCCAGGTGTAATCATGAGGTCACGGTATTAACTTTGAAAGTAGTGTCTAATGTGAACCTGACAAGTGAACCATGCCCGTCGTGAACATTGTTAGCGAGCAAACATCATGGCGTATGGGTTTTATATCTCCCGCGGATCATTCCACTACTGCAGGGGAGTGCCTGTTCTCTGGGAAAAAGCCTATTTCAAGTAAAACAAGGCAAATGCAGATTATCTTCCTTGATTGTGCAGCAGATTTATAATCCTGAAATGGCTTTGGTGTGTCAAAAGTGCCAGACATAACCAACCTTACTAGTTCTCCACAGCCCACATGTAAGCTGGATTGTTGCCAAGTATGATTCAAGTTCATAATGTATGGTTTTCACATACTGCTAAAAAGGCCAAACCTCTTAAATTTGTTGGTTCACAGATTCGCCTGCTTCATTTTTTTCTGATTTGCAAAAAAAAAAAAAACATTTCAGCCTCTGAATCAACTCAAAAATGCTCATATTTTTGCTCCAGCAGATGAAGGAAGTCCCTTCTCTTCAGAGTTATTATTGTAACAGTTTATGCATCTATCAATGCAGTGGCATGAAAGTTCATCTGAGTTGGTAAATTACATTATGAAAAACTTTTCTCCAACTCAAAATATTTGACTCACCAGAAATTTTCGACTGAATCACTCAGTCTTCCTCAGCTATCTGACCCAAATGCTGTGGTCTATCAATGCAGTGGTTTGATTTAAAGTTTGAAATTCATTGTTTGAATTACAAACTAGCCTGGTATGTTGACTTTGTGGCTCTTGTACCATTTGGGGCTATCATAGGATACCTAGGTCTGTTCTTTTTTTCGCCCCCGTCGCTTTATATTTTTTCTGAAAAGATCCCAGGACCAACAAATCAAAATGGTGTGGCCCTAACAAATATGGACCATAAGGTATGGTGAGAGTATAGGTATATGGCCCAGCCAACTTTGAAGTCATAAAAAGAAACAGAATACAGACCCTTCTTAGTTAACTACATCTATATGACCAGACACAAGACAAAGCGACATGAAGACAGCACCAAGTTATTTTTAAAAAATTGTTCTATTTGTTGTGATAAACTTTAAAATGTACAACCCAAGAGGAATTGGATATAAACATGAAATATGCTTCTGTTACATGACTTAATTCAGTATTCAAAAACCTTGTCTGGGACCAATAGGACCCATACAGGTCAAATTAAGATGATTGGCCACACAGCTATGAATAGATGCATTCAGCCATTCCTATGCGGCATTTCTAAGTTAGTGGACTCATTGTCATCAAAGTCATTCAAACTACAACTTATACTTATGATTCTCAAATACTACTGTAGTAGTGAATGATGATCATGACAGGATGTAGTAAAATAAACTTTTATTTATCAAGTTCGCCCTTTTGCCATCTCAACATATGTTCAAAATGTATTTTACAATATGCTATTTAAATTGTAATGAGGATTTCATTTGATTGATGTACCATGTAGTCAATACAATAGAACATTGTATACTCAAGCGTGCACAAGGACTAACTGTTTTTGACACAGGGGCTATATATAGCGGTAATATTGTCCCCAGTGAATTACAATGGGCTTGGCTATTCTGGCACATAATAACAATAAAATGAAAAATGCCAAGGACTTCTGCTGTGGAAGATGACTTAAATTTCATTCTATTTTTCTGTACCCTTTATTGTGCGAATCTGCTATTCTGGGGTTGTATGCAAGCATGCAGTGTAACTCTGTAAGTTGACACCAATGTAGAACAATGGAAAAAGAAGCTGACTTCATTGGGCATGTGTTTACCTGCCTTTACCTATATTTACTTGGAGCCAGGGGTCATTGACCAGGGTTTTGTCCTTCACAAATAAACTGAGAAAAGACAAGCACTTTTTCAAGTCAGTGTGGCCAGCAATTCCTTGTCTATTTAACTTATTTTAAGTTTCAAAGCATCAAACAGGGATAAAGAAAAGACAGTTTGTATGAGAAAAAAATGTGTCACCTAGCAATAATTAATTGATGTCCTTGACAGTCAGGCTTTCCAAGAAGGGATCCTCTTTGTTTGTGATATTTTTCAATGTCAGCCACTGAGGGGTTTTAGAGATTAGCCACGAAATTGGCATCTTTTTATCCATCACCTTCACCTCCTGTTTACATGTTGTTGAAAAGTCAGGTGCTTCTGACACGCCCATGGGAAGGGCATTGCCTAACAATGAAGTTATGCATAGGACACTGCAGTTTTGGCCTTTGACACTCACATGCATGACACTCCCTCTAATTGTAGTTGGCAAGAATGTCATGCTAGCAGGCATCATCAGTCACATGACGCCTCGGGCTGTAGAATTCACCTTCAGATCACAATCAATGGATCCTTTCATCCCACAGATCATGTTGTCATGCAGTTATGCTGTGCATGCAGTAGGTAAAGTAACAGTCTGTACCATCACTCTGCATCCATGTCAGCAAATATCTTATTCTTCAGTATGATTCATCAAAATCAACTTTCAACTTAACAGTGACTAAGAATCATATTCAGTCACCTAGCTTGCCAGCTTGCACAGTCATTTATCCCTTAAGTTGTGGTTGAAAAGTAATCTTGTAACCCCGTTGTTATCGACAAAACTTGGCAAACAAAAACCTTTGGCACATAGCCTACAGGACGTACATAGGTACACCTTGATACCTGTAAATACCTGTTTGAGCAAGACCTTGACCCTGTTGTGAGGACATTGACCCACAGGACCTGCAGTTCTTCACCAAGCGATAGGTGGAAGAAGGCAAACTGTTTTCTTTCTGCAGTTCCATCTTCAGCTGTTTGGGGGAGCTGCTGTCCTGGAGTTCGATGCAATAGAGTATGGATTGTTGTTGCTTATGTTAATACTGTCTCTATTTCATCTAAAAACTCTCTTCTTTTATTCTTCCAGCCATCAGGGAAGATGGGATGCCTGGAGGAAGGAACAAAAGCATTGGGCCTGTGGAGGTATGAAACATATAAATTCATCTTTCCCTTAAAGACGTAACAGAATATAACAATATCTCATATAAGCTTTTATACTGGTTTGTTAGAATTCTCTGTAATGTACATGTATATTGCTGTCCTAAATGAGACCTGGTCACCAATAATATAAGCCTAGGTTATCTTGGTCTTGTTGCCTGTGCATGTGGACAAGCTTGGTATTGGCTTACTACTATTAGTTGGTTTACTTTGACAACATGTTATTAAGTTCCTAGGTTTGCAAAGGGGACTTAAGAACTTATTGTCTTCCTGTTTTCAGATATCAGAAGAGGAGATAGAAAGGATCATGTCAGGCAAGGAGTTTGAGGAAGAGGAGCAACAGGAAGCCAGCTCGACGACAAACGCTGACGGCTCGCTATCATTCTCCGCCCAGGCAAACGGCATGGGTGGCATCCAAGGTCTGAACGGGGTGGGGGGGCTGGACCTCTCTGCCCTCAACTACGGTTCCCTCAGCCAGGGAGTTTTGGCAGACAAATCTCAGGGCAGTAATACGTATATGCCAGGACTCCCTAGCTATGGGAACGCACACAGCATGGCAATCCCCACCAGCATGGGGCACTTGGACCCGCAGTCCGCCACGCTCCTGGACCAACTCCTCCGCGCTGAAGACTTTGACCCGCTGCACAGCTCCATCATGGTGGAAGACGACTACGAGGTCTCCAAGCACGAGCTCTTCTGCCTGCTGTGCAAGATCGCCGACGAGATGCTGTTCAGGCAGATCACCTGGATCAAGAAGCTGCCATTCCTGTCGGAGATCTCCATATCCGACCTGTCCACACTCCTGACCAACACGTGGCATGAGGTGGGTCCGCTTGTCTGTTTGAAACAGTCATGATGTCTGGTAGGGCATACAGTACATGCAAGAGACAAATCAATCCATGCTGGTTACCGATGTATTGATTACTGATTGATGCAATATATGCCTTAACTTTTATTGTTGTTGTAAGTTATTTCTTAAAAGTTCTACATTGTACTTCTAATATTAATATGTAACCTTATGTAATTTTCTAGTTTTGACAGGAAGATTTGTCATATCTTATCTGATATTAAGTCTGTAAGTGGGGATCTGGGTTATGAGTTTGTGCTTGCCTTGTTCACCTTCATAGGTCTTCTTCCATACAATATTCTAATATCCAGTTTGTGTTCCCTCTGTCTGTCCAGATTTCCTTCCTGTCAGCCCTGTGCGTCCACAAGCCCCAGCTGTTCGGAGAGTTCGGCAGTATCATCCTGAAGTACCAGCCAACCAACGAGGAGCTGGAACAGTTCTCGGACGACGGCATGGAGATCGTGGAGCGGACCATGTACCTCTCAGGGAAACTTCACCAAATGAAAATCACCAAAGAAGAGTTTGTCTGTATGAAGGTCATCAACTTCTTGAACCAAGGTAAAGATGTGATGTTCATGTTGTCAGATGTACCATGTACTTAGAATGCACAGATGTGAAGCTTTCTTCAAGCTGCATATGAGTCAAGAGATATTGTAAGGAAGATTGTGAAGTAGTTGGAACTCAGCTGTTCAAATTTGCCGACTACTTTGTCCAAATTAAGGGGTTCAGAATTACATTCCTACAGATTTACAGTGAATTTTATGAAAGAAAAAAAATTGGGGGACAACAGACGAATAAATTGTTAAGTTACTCAGTAACCTTCTATGTGCTGCCTAACCCCAGAACCAGTAAAAAAAATTGATAGCCAAACGGCTATTTCAGTATGCTGAAGGTTGTTTTCTCTGTTCCAGATGTGAAGAACCTCAGAGATGCAGAGTTGATAGAGAGCGTGAACAAGCGGTTCTGGTACGCCTGCCAAGACTACATCGAGGCGCAGTACCCGCACCAGCCCGCCCGCTTCCGCGAGCTGATGATGTGCCTCCCGGAGATCCGCTACGTCACCAGCAAGATCCTGGACATCCCCATCGAGCACCTCCCCCTCCTGTTCAAGGCAATCATGCACAGCTGCAAGGTCAACACCGGACACCCGTCCATATGTGTGTCCGCATGACAGGACCGCTCCACACCAGCATAGTGCTTTGTGTTTAACCTCCATGGGGGAAAAAACACACCCACGATCTTCACCACTTTCCAACCCACACGACCCAGTTCTTCTGTTGTTCTTGGTCATTGGGTTGAAAAGTTTTGAAATCTGGGCAGCTGGCAGAAAATGACATAACTTAGAAATCACCGCGCTGTGACAGCACCGGTTGGTTGTTGACGACAACTGGACAGTTGCCATGACATTTTAGAAGTTGCCATGACTGCTGCTCGCTTCTGGCAGTTGCTAAGGTGGGGCCAATGTGGGGGTGTTGCCATAGTGACAACGGTAGTAATTTATTTTGCCAGGAAGCGAAATACGTAGTCTCATGAGTGCCAGGATAAAATGGTTGTTGTCCGCTCACCGGTGCTGTCATGGTCCTGTTGACTTGTTTATTGCCATGGCATCACTGCTGCTGACTGGCGGGGGAAGGGGCCAATCGGAGTGCTCT